ACAATTTTGTCCGGGTCAACTCGCAATTCTCTCCGACTATCAGCATCATTTCATCATTTCTACAACTTCTGCCATAAGTTTTTAATAATATTTTCGCATACTACTTAAGCTATCATTTTATTACTTCCAAATGCTTTGAGTATTGAGTGAATTTCTTATTTCTAAATACTTTGACTATTGAGTACATTTTATTATTTCTACATGCTTTCAGTATTAAATATATTTGATCATTTCTATATTGTCACCTAAAAATCGGTTTGTAGTCTCTTGCAAGAGACTGCAGTTTAATTTATGTATATAACATAAATTAAACTGCAGTCTCTTGCAAGAGACTGTAATTTAGGTTTTCCAATGTCTTATCTTTACTTTAAAATTATTATTAATATGATACTTAAAGTCTGTTTATCTAAAATTAAAAAGATATTCGCATATCTTATTTGGACATTGAACAAAACTGCATTGAATGCAAAACCTTTAACAATTTTATAGGATATTGAACAAAATATCAGGATAATTAACAAAACAACACGACATTACATATAATAAATAGTGCAGCCGTGGCGCAGTGGTAACGCACTTGCCTCAGAAACGTAAGATCCGTGGTTCAAACCCCACCTCTGAGTAAGTTTTGCGACATCGGTTGGGAAGGAGGCGTGAACTTCCTATTAAATGCTCTTCCGCGGTGCTCTGTGATAAGACCGTAAGGACTTCTTGGGGCACCTAAATCAACTTAAAAAAAAATAAATAAATAATCTTGTTTGCTATAACATTTTTACCGAACAAAATAGCATAAAAATAACTAACTCAAAATTTCTCTATACAACATATAGGTTATATAACAAACTTGAAGAACTCTATTATAATTGTAAAATTGTCTACGATTTTATAGTTTTACTAGCAGCCCTATTTGTTTTTTTTCTTTCAAAGGTTTTTTTGTTTTTAAAATTAATTCATGTTTTAAATTCTTTAAAAAGTACGAAAAGAAAGTAAAATGTTTAAAAATCCACAAAAGAATTGTGAACAATTTTATATATTCACTGATTTTATTCTAAAATTTATTCTAAAAATACACTCTTGTCACTATTTCTTTCCGATTCATCTTTATTATCATTAAATGATAACTTTCTGAATCATATCAAATGATAACTTTAGTTTGATTTCCTCGTCCTTTTTTTATAATTTTTTATGCAGTTAATTTTTATTTGTAATTAATTCGCTAATTAATTAATATAGTTTAAAATTTTGTACAGTTTGTTTTATGCAATAAATTTATTTTACGCAATACTGAAGCATCTCGTTATAATATTTTATAATTTTATTTTCTTAAAAGGAAATAGTAAAACTTTAGTATTTAAAAAATAAGTAAGCAGCATGTTTAAAAATAATTTTATCACTCAATTTTATCAAGTACCAACTTGACCCAAATTATATAATGACAAATAATATACCAACTATAAACTAAATGAATTATATACAGCATGATAATATACCAACATGAACTAAAAAATATACCAATATGAGTTATATGCAACAGCTATAACACAGCATAGTATATCGACTATAACACAACATAGTATATACAAATGACATATTAACTTTTGTAACAAACTTTTTAGTCAGATGTACAATTAGCAACAATTAGCAATTTGATTTGTTAATAACAACAAATTATATTTGTTAAAAACAATTAACGTTCATTCTTAAAATCTATAAAATTATTATCATTAAAATTTTGTGAAACAAATTTGGCTTTAATGAAAATTTGTATATTTTTTGTTCAAATTTTATCAGGAAGAACAATGCACTTTTGAAGATTGCACATTTAGCACCTAATGGAGGTTTGAATTAAGAGCAGTTTTATAAAGAATGAAATAATAATAATAATAAAAACAAAAGTAATAAAAACAATAATAATAAAAAAAAAGAGGCGTTGTTCAAATAATTGACAATCGTGATGGAGAAGCAAATTCTTAAATCGCCTCACTTCTTGTTAACGAACTTCATAATTTTCTTAACTTTTATTTTAGAATTGAATTAAAAATTTATACTTAAACGAATCAGCTTTGTAGAATAAATTATTAACAATATTTCTTGTTAATGATAATTATGAAGCTATAAATGTGTTTAGCTGATATAGTCCCAAAAGATTTATATTTAACTAGTTTTTCGAATAAATTTGTTTTTTATTAAATAAAAGATAATAAATAATTTTCTGCTGTGTAAAAAATTATTTAATTATTAAACTGTTTATTAAATTACTGCGAAAAATTTTATGTATGAAAAATAGGAGAATTTCTCGTTTTTTTTCTTTTTTTATCCACCTAAAATTTCTGATATATTAGGTGGATATGTTTATTGTACTTTTTTTAAAAAAATGTTTAAAAGCCTTTTTAAGACTACGAATTTAATTAAACAAATTCAAGTAGAAATTGTTATAAAATTTTTTTTGGGAGGTTTAAATAATGTTTCAAAAAAATTAAAATAAAAAGCGCATCACCTTTCTTTAGTGTTCGGTAAGGTTGGCGCAAATTATAAAAATGTTTAATACATTTTTAGAATTGAAAAACTGTTTTTTGATTTTTGCAAGAACATTTTAAACCAAAAATTTAAAATTAAAATCTAATGTTATTTTAAGATAACCCACATTTTTCTAGTCCAAAAAAATCTCTGGTAAAAAATTTTTTAACTTTCTCAAAAAATAAATTTTTTAAATATTACCAAATAAAATAAAAGTTATTTTTTTATTATGAGCGAACTCGCTTTATAAAAATTATACCAATAAAGACTATTTAGTTCAAAAAGTTTTTTTAACGGAAATAAATATTCTAATTTTTTAAAGAGATTTTTTTTCGAAATCATTCTGCATACTCGGATTTATTTTGCCAAAAAACTGATTTCTGAAAAAAAGCAGATATATTGAGTCCGGATTTAGAAGTCAAAAAAAGACTATTTTTTCTTATTATAATTTACTATTTATTTATTATTTGCGTTTTTGGCATCCAGGAGCTCTGAAAATTGTATAGAAGTTTATAGACTGCTATAAGCTTCTTTACAATTTTATATTGGGAAAAAATAAAGACTAAAAAGGCTCATGCTTTAAATCGTTAATTTATGAGTTCTTTCGGGACTCCGCATTCCTGGTAAAAAGTAAACAAATATACAACAGGTATCAAGTCGCCACGCTTCATAAGTCAGTTATTAAGCCGCCAGATCACTTTAAATACGTCACAAGCTGATTGAATTTTTTCAAATGGTAATAATAACTCAAATAATAATAATGACAACATGTACATTTGTACATGTTATCGTTATTTGTATTATTATGTATTTTTTTCATAATAAAATAGTAGATATACTATATTTATAACTATAATTATTAAAAACATCAAAGCAAGGCCGTCATCACTACGTATTGCATCATTACATAACGTATCTTGTATCGTTACACGTGAAAATAGCCAAAGTAAAAATAAATTCTATCTATAATCTTGAGACAATTTTATCACATCTAATCAATCATTTGATTAATAATTATAACAATTAATATTTTATAACAATAATAAAAAAATATTTAATAATTAATCATTTTTGCACCAATTTAGAACTGTCACATACTACTATTACTAAAACGACGACAACAACAACTACTACTTCAACTCCTCCTGCTGCTAATGTTGTCGCTATATTTTTACTTCTGATTCCATTCCATTCTATTTTAACAAAATTTTTATCCATTCGTGTAAAAAATAACAGTCATGCTTGGGGTGGGTCTTCTACTTTTACCTTTTTCTTTAGGACAAGTTAGACTATGGACAAGGTGCGAAGATGCCTTATAAACATAATTAGACAAGTTCATTAGATCATTAACATTGAAGGTTTCGTTGAGTTTCACTCAACAGTTATAGTAAGATAAATATTATAAATATAAGTTACCAGTGGTTAAATTAAAAGCAATGGTTAAATAATAAATTACAATTAAAATAAATGAATTATGCATTAGAACAATTATTCATTAAAGAAACTTCTAGAATTAGAGAAATTACCTCAAAAATAATCTTGTGTTAAATTATACATAGCACGATATTTTTAACTTTGTTATTTTTAATGTTTCTTAGCAGAAAAGAACAGTTGTGGCTACCAATGAATACCTTCAAAAAAACTATCAACAAATTGTTATATTGATGATTAATTCTCTTTCAAAATTAAAAAAGATAACCAAAGCGGTTTTTATTATCATTAAAAATTTAGTTTTTTCTAATGCTTCATACATTTTTTATACAGTTCAAAACATTTAACTTGAATTACTTTAAAGTAACTTATGTAATTTTAATAATGTTATTTTCAAAAAAAGAAACTGAAAAAGATCAGATATAACTCATTGAAGATTTATAGTAACTTACTTGTATTAATTACCACCGATAAAAAATCAAAAGTTGAGATTTTTTATAAAGATTTGAAAGCCTAAAACCTAATACTTTAGTTAAACGTTAAAATCCGTCATAATGGCGTCAAACAGATCAGAGAAAAATGACGGCTTCGTTAATCGGAATAAAACCGTGTCTAGTGTTGATGATTTGGATTCAGCTCTTTTAAATGAGGACATTTTAGAATTAGAAGAAATCAAAGAAAAAAGAATAGTCGATGTTGATAAAAATAAACAATGCAATAAAGAAAACCCCAAAGAGGAAAAACCAAATAGGGATTATGAAAATATTTATCTACTTATGGCTTTAATAGACTTGGAGTTTTCACCATCGGTGTACGAAACTCTAGGAAATACCGTTTATCTGAAGAAAATTTGCGAAAAATTAAGCGAAGATCAAAAGCGCAGTCTTTACGAACTATGTTGATTCTGAACATTACTATAAGTGAGCATGTTCACGCAAAATATTCTATTTGGAAACGATAACTTCAGCGAATACTTAAATATACTTTAACACATCCTGAGACTTTTAATAACGGTTCTGAATAAGAGAAAAACATTAAAAACATTAGCAACATTAAAAACAATTTAATATTATCAACAAACTTAATATTATATATTATAAAAATATAAATACGACATGTTTTCGTTTATGTAAGTTTAATATTCTTCTTATGTCCGTCTTTTTAATTTTAAAATTTACGACAAAAGATGATGTGATTCAATTGTTCTTTTTATGTAGTTCCAATACTCTTTACGTATTATATCGACATCCTCTGCAAGCTTTGTACAAAGCTAGAAAAAAACAAACAAATAAGTTGCATATACGAAAATTATACATGCAGAATACAGCTTTTTTTGATGTTCAAGACATCAAAATAACTTCCAGGCATGGAGCAAACTTCAAAAATTTATATGTTTATAATTATATCAAATAAGGATGCTTAGCAAAAAGCAGCGATGGTTGTAGCCTGGGAACAAAAAAGCTCTAAAACTATGGCAACAAAAAATTATAATCTAATAAAAATTGTAAATCCCTAATATTTTAAAATTTTAACTTTCTCATTGACTTTTAACTACTTATTGAGGTAGGTAAAAGTCATAATTTTTTAAACGCAAAGAGATTCTTGTATAAAAATTAAAATGTATGGATGAATATAAAAAATTTAGTTAAGAAGGAAAAATTTTTTTTGTCAACTTTGCTCTCACGTTTGGGAAAGTTGTATAATTTTATGGCTTTTTGTTCCCAGGTTCCAATGATGGCAGCTTTTTGCAAAGCATCTTATTTGATATAAGTATAAACATATAAATGCTTGGAGCTTGCTCCATGTCTGGAAGTTAGCTATATAAAAAATGTTGCATCCGCCCCAGACTTGCGTGCGTCTAATTCAATACGAAAATTCAAACAAAATATCAAAATACAAAACCATTACGTTACTTATTTTAAATAAATATCAACTTCTCATATACACACACATTAGGGTGGCTCTTAAAACAAATTTTTTGAGAAAAAGCTGCTCTGACCCCTTTAATTTATTCTATATAATACTAAAACACAAGGTTTAAAATTTTTTTGAACAAAAAATACTTTAAGGGTTAGCTCAAGACCCTTAAAATTTTGACGGGTCCCTAATATTTTTTTAAAAAAAGTTATAATTATATAAAAACTATAATAATAAACTATATATAACAAAAATACTAATCAGTTTAAGTAAAAAACGTGTAAAAAAATTATATCAAAAAACTTAAAAATATTGACTTTTTTTTATTTTAAGCCTAAAAACAATATTTTTTTTTACATTTATATCTGAAAAAATGATTTTTATGAAAAATGATTTTTATTTTTAAACTTTTTAATATAATTTTGCTTATTTTGAGTATCAGAGGTTGGCATACTTTAAAAAAACTTTTTTTTTTCAATATATTAGGGACCCGTCAAATTTTTAAGGGTCCTAAAACCCGTAAAAATATTTTTTGTTCAAAAAAATTTTAAACCTAGTGTTTTAGTATTATATAGAACAAATTAAAGGGGTCAGAGCAGTTTTTTCTCAAAATGGTTGTTTAAAGAGCCACCCTAACACACATACTATATATATATATATATGTATATATATATATATATATATATATATATATATATATATATATATATATATATATATATATATATATATATATATATATATATATATATATATATATGCATGTATGTATGTATGTATGTATGTATGTATGTATATATATATATTTCTTTTTTGCAATGTTATCGCAAATAGCGTAGGTGGTTTTTAACGGTAAAATTAAAAAATATAAAAAAAAAATTAATAATAATAAAAATTAAAAATTTTTATTTTAAAAAAAAGACGAATAAAAACACAGTAACAAACAATTTAAAAGCAAGACCAAATAATATAAAATAGATAAAATGACCGAGGAGAAAAAAAGAATCTATAAACGTTTTGATAGCTTCTAATTTATAAATCAAAACTAACATTTTATAAAATAAGCATAAAACTATTTATTCTAGCATGGCTTGCGGTCCGCATTTACTAGCAGATGTTTTATCATAATTTCAATAGGATTTATTATGTTGATATAAGTTTTATACTTTTGGAGAAATAAGCCAAAAGCTCGTTTTCGACAAATTTACTAGGTCGATGATTTTTAAAACCTGTTTACACTGAAAGGGTTTGTTTTTATCGGTGACTGAAATAATTTTTAAGGCCCATTTTCTTTTTTTTTTTTTGAAATAAAATTTTTTGTTGACAAAATTAATAAACATTTTTTTACTCTCGAGTCCTTAATTGAATTTATACCAAAAATAAATTTACGGGAATTACGACTTCCCGTAACTTAGTTTTTGGTATAAATTGAAGTTTTATTAATTTGATCATTCATAACTGATGAGTCTTTATTAATGAAACACATTGCAAAGTGAAAAAAATTTCCTAATGATTTCCCACTAATTAATTAATGCTCTGTTTTGATAAGAACATTAGGCACTCTACTTTGTAGAATACATTTAAAATTATTTGAGTGTGTGTCTGGTCTCGGCAGGAGTGTAAGAGTGCGAAAACGAACATGGCGAGCCATGCGAGCCGCTCCTTTAAACAGCTTCTTAGGAGAGCTTTTGGTTTTTGCGCTAGCTATCTGGTTATTTATTAAAAAATTGTTTATTAAATACATAATTTTGGTTTTATAATTATCCAGGACGCAACAAATTTTTAATGAACGTTAAAGTTCGTATCTTTATTTAATGACGAATGTCTAATTTAAGAGATATATGTCATATAAGGAAGTTTTATTTTCAAATAATTTTTATTCTAGTTAATAAATTATATTTTTTATCGATGATGCTTATTGAATTTAATCAATTTTTATTTCTTTGAAACGATTTTTTACGCATTTGCGAAGTGCGCGCAAATTAATGACCTAACGATTTTAAATAGTTATCTATTGATATAAATAATGAATTTTTCTCAATTTAGTTCGCTAAATTTTTACAAATAAAAAAAGTTTAAACTTGAAAAAATTAAAATAAAAGGAGCTAAAAATAAAATAAAAGTTGTTTTGACATTTCTTTTTTAAAACTTTTAAAAATAATATCATATAAAGTATTAATAAGTTATTAAAAATATCATATTATTGGCGTTGTTAAACGCACACTAAAACACCCAAACTATGATAAACATTAATTCTATATATTCTATTAGATTATATATTAGAGTGGATAGATTTTCATAGCAAAAAAAAAAAAAAAGTTTAAAAATCAATATTCCTGAGACACGAATCGATGTCTATTGATTATAAGATGAAAGTAAAAAAATATTTTTTGATTTTGATGAGATCTTGAAGTTCCTCTTTGGATTTCAAATCCTTGACGGATTTTTTTTTTTTCTAAACTATACCAACCTTGGACTCAAAAAAAGCATAAAAAAATGCTTGTTTTATCAATATTAATTTTATTAAAAAAAAATTTTTTTAATGAAAAAAAAAAATGATTTTTTTATCCTTAATTATGAATTATAACAAATATTATATATTTATATAAATATTATAAGCGTATTATTCTGCTTCTTTTGAGAACCAGGTTGATATAGTTTAGAAGAAAAAAAATTTCAACAATATTAGGATCCGTCATAAATTTAGAATCCAAAGAGGAACCTATAAAACTCATTTAAATTAAAAAAAAAAAGTAAGGATCTTTTTTCACCAAAAGACATCGATTCGCAGCTCGGGCAAATCAAATTTCAAAAATTTTTAAAATCGATCCACCCTATTATATATACTTCAGCAAAACGTAAAAACTGTTTTCAAACATTTTAAAAGTGTTTTTTAATATGCAAATAAACATTATTTCATTTAAAAATAAGAAAGTTAAAAATAAAAAAAAGCTTAAAAAATTAAAGAAACTTAAGAAACTTAAAAATAAAAAAAAAGCAGGCTATAGAAAAAAGCAATCGTAATTATAATCAAACAAAAACAAAACAAAAAAAATCAATTGACAGCAAAGTACCAATTTAAAAGAAAAAAAGTTCGAAAAATGTTCGAAATAATAATTAAAAGAACTAATTAAAACGTAAAAAATCGCAACCAATTTTTCTACACCTTTTTTTGTGTGGCAAATATGTGATATTTGTTATATTATTATTTTTTATTATTTCATTAATTAATATTATAATATTACCATTAATCATTTTTATTAAATATTATATTTGTTAAATATTATCATTTTGTGTATGCATTTTGTTTTGTAGTTTTTGTTTTTCTCTTCGTTTGCATAAAGTTTGTTATTACTTGTGCTAATTATTTTTATAGTAGTTTTCTATTTTTCTATTTTACCAAATTTTCAACGCTTTTTTTTTTATTTCGCAAAATAACTTAAGTTTGTCCTTATTTTTTAATTTAATTTTTTTTTGTAAAAGTATTTGTGTTTGCCTTTTCGTTTGTATTTCATCTTGTAGTTTTTGTGTTTTTCGTTTGTGTAAGGTTTGTTTTTTATTTGTTCTGTTTTGCTAATTATTTTATTTTTGTTTGCTGTTGTTATCGAGTGTTTTCATATTTTTTGTCTTATTATTTAACTTATTTTAGCTTTATCGTTGTTATTATTATTTTATTTATTTTCTTAGCAATTTTAGGTTTATATTTTTTATTTTTATTACTATTTTATTATTATACTAATTGCTTTAATAAATTGGTGTCACTCATTTTGATCATGAGTGACACTCATATCATCATATTATTTGTATTATTATAGATAATAATATTATTTATAATTATTATTGTTATAATTATTTGGTGTCAGTCCTTTGATCAGGCTTCTGTTTGAGTGACACCTTCCTTTTCAAATAATTATTTATATTTATTCTTGTTAGTTATATTTTATAATTATATTGTTTGTATTATTATAGATAATATTATTATTATTGTTATTATACGATTATATTTAAATTTTGAAAAGAAAAATAAATATCTTGTATAATGTTTTAAAGTAATTTGCAAATGCATTCATTTTAAGTAAAATTTCCCATACTTTTGTTGACGCATGCAAAAACCATGCTAAAACATTATTTTTTTACGTATTAAGGGTCGCCCATTAATTACGTCACGCAATTTTTGACATATTTTGCCCCCCTCTTGTAACGCATCGTAACATTTTATTGCTGCGATTTTTTAAATTCTATTGACATTTTTTGTGCAACTCTGACTAACTTTTATTGTATTTTTAACTAAAAATGTTATGCAATTTATTTAAGGACATTCTCTACCAATTTTAAAAAACAGTTTTACTATGC